TAGAATTGAGTACGGAAGTCATCAATAAAAAACCTAATGTAACTTTAAGCTTAATTTTTTTATTTCTTTTCCGTGAAAATTCCCGGAAATCTTTACAAATTTCAGCTTTGTCACATAATATTTGATCCATATTATTATTAATTAATAATAATTTATAATTAATAATAATGATAATATAATAATCAATAATAATAATATTAGATAATAATGATAATTAGTAATAATATATATTAATTATATATGTATATATGTAATGAAAATAATTCAAAATAAATTCTAACCTTTTCATTTCAATTTTGGGTGAGAAAGAAGAATTGAAATGTATTTTTGTTGTAAATGTTTCAAGGTTGAAACGATAATTTTTGTAATTTATAAAATTTCGAAAATTTTTGAAGAAATAAAAAAAACGAAAAAAAGAAAAACTTCTAAATATATTATTTGTAAATTAGGACAACAGTAATATCAAAATGGGAAAAATATTTGATGAGAATAAGACGATAAAGTACATATGAAAATTCTGAAATTTCCAGTTTCATACTAAATTTTGTTAGTAATTGAAATACTAAATTTTGAAATTAAAACAAATAAATTATTGATTATTTAAATTATATCAATTAAAAAATGCTAAATTTTTTCTAAATTAAACTAAGAAATAAGTAAAATCTATTAAGTTCATTTATGATATTGTTTTATCCCAGAATTACAGTAATGAAATGAAATTGGTTTTTTTAAAAAAAGAAGTTAATTGGATTTGAATATTTATCAAAGAGGAAATAAGCAGTAGAGATTATTACATATGTAATATATATATATATAACATTTATGTAACATAGTCGATTAATTCGTTTGCTTAATTCCGGAATAATTTTTATTTGATTCCGGAAAAAATCTCAACTGCTTGTATTGAAGGAAAAGTTATCATAATAATAATAAAAATAACAGTAATAATAATTAATAATAATACAATGATAATGATTAATAATAATTAATAATAATAATAATATAATGATAATGATTAATAATAATAACAAAATTATTAATATACTATTTCCTGGAAATGTAAAATATGAAATTCTGAATTTTATGTTTTAAAATTTTTTGCAATTAAAAGAATTAAATACTAGAATATATAGAAAGGTAAAAAGTCGATAAATGATTATCAAAATAAAAGTTAAAGAAAGAATTGACGAAAGAGAAGAAAAGAAAGAAAATATTTCAAAAAATAAATGCGAAATATTTGCTGATAAGATTTTCGACAAAATTATACAATTGGCTACTAAAGAATTTAAAAGTGATTTATTTGATAATATTATAAAAACTAAAGTTATATTATCAAATGAAAAATATTATTGCTTAACAATAAAGTTTAAGAATATATCAATTGATATAATTAATATATAATTAAGACAAATATAGATTTCATTTTCTCAATTTCAACTTTATTTTTTCACATTTAATTTAAAATTTTATTAAGAAATGATAAAAGTAAGCAATGATTTCATTTTGTGATAAAATGATAAAGAAAAATTTTTTTAAATTCTTTTAAATTCTTTAAATTCTTTGTTTCGATATTAAAATGATAATAATTTTTTGAATAGTCATAAATGTTTCCGTTGTTTTTGTTTAACCATAAAAGCAAATTCATATAATTAAAAATAGAATACATATTATTTACATAACAATTGAGATAATTAAAATAAATATATTATATAATAATTTTAAAAATTAAAACACTATTTAAAATAAAAACATTAGTTTGATTTATTGCAAATTAATCAATATAATATCATTATCAGGTTTGGTAAAAATTAGCAAATTGATTAGAATCCGGAAAATAGGAAAACAAAAAAAGCAGAAAAAACTATATAAATATTTCATCTAATTAATTCTATTTCTCTTTCTTGCTCATTTGAGATGATAAATTTTCAAAATTATTCGCAAACTTTTAATTGCTGAAATTTTAATTGAAATTCGATGATACCTAAAATAATTGTTTTTCCTTTCCCTCTTTTCCAATCGACTCTTTGTTTTTGTATTAAAATATGAAATTAATTTCATTAATATTTTTTCCCATTTTCCAATCATTTCCAGCTTATAAAGAAGAAGTAATTATAGCAAAATGAATTTAATTTTATAACTCTTTTTTTTTTCTGTAATGTTGAAGGATACGAAATATTGATTGATTTACATTTAATATGCATTACTGATATATTATTACGGAATATTTTTTGTTGTATAAATTTATTCCAAAACTATTTCTATTTTTTGATTTATTTGCATCATAATAGTAATAGTAGCGTAAATCAATTAATTATATTTAGGAATATTATTCAACAGGTAAGTATTACATTTCCTACCTAGCATAAAATTAGCTATATAAATCTAAAATTTATTTATCATTACAAATAAAATGTATTCCATTAGAGTTTCATTGTAAGGTGTACAAAAATATTAATACTACACGTGTTTTGTTATAAACAACAATAATTATCGCTGGTAATTAAATTTGTTTCAACGATACAAGTCAGAGAATGTATTGATTGGTATATACTTATTACTATAACTATGGTGATTATGTAATATGATTAATTTAAGTTTACTAGGATGAATATTGATTAATAAATGTATATGAATTTAGGTGTATATATGTGTACCAACGTATTAGTTAGTGCAAGTAAATTCGTGCATGAGTGCGTGCGTGATACATGCACATGCAATATGTATATATATATAATATATTGTTATGTCAATAAAAGTATATGTGTACACTGCAAAAGCTTACAATGGAAAAAAGTAAAATTTTAAATCAATTCGAATTCAAATATTATTTTCGCAAAAAATAAAATTAATACGAAATATTAAATGGAAATGAAAAACTTAATCAAATATTTGATTAAATTTTAATCAATTATTTTCTTCGTCTTTTTTATTAATTAATAAAAATTATATTAATAAAAATTAATTTAATAGAAATTAATTAAAAATACTAATAATTACAAATAAAAATATTAATGAAATTATTAATAAAAATTAAGAAAAAATATTACCCAAAGCATGGTGATTCAGCTCTATTCAAATCCTGTTTCCAATCCAAAGTTCCATTGAAGCAAACTATATCTTCACGTTCGCCAGTTTGTACGGCTACAACCTGTAAGTTCTAAGATAATCCCATGT